TAAGACCCGAACTCTTCCACAGCATGAGTTTTTAATTTCTCTTTGATATTTGGGCATATTGGGGCCCGATGAATGTAAAAACCTTTACCTGATTTTTGTTTGTAAGAAAAATGAGAGCCACAAACAAGGATATTCTTTTAAAATTTTGATAGAACAGTAACAGTATAATGTCCTCGTAAGTGGATATCAGGCCCCTTGTAGAGCAAAATTGAGTATTTTGGTCTAAATAACCCAAAATGTGATGTCCAAATATGTGGACGCCAGGTCCTTGGAGGTTAAAGCTTAATTAGAAACAGAAATGTGAGAAAGAAAGGCCTGGTAAAAATAAATAAATAAATCGGCCTAATGTTAACTTTTCCTTCATACGAGCTGTTGTACCATTGCATATCAATTCATACATTAACTTCATTTTTTTGTTCTTTATCCCCCTTAGACCAAAGCTCTTTTTTGGGATGCATTTTTAATTTCTCCAAGCTATTTGTGAACAGTATAACATTTTTCTTTTTCTTTTTTAGCTGCTCCCTTTAAGGGATCATCTGCCTCTAATCCTATCCCTAGCATCGTCTTCAGTCACACCAACTCTTTGTGTCCTCCTTGACTACATCCATGAATCTTCTCTGTGGTCTTTCTCTTTTCCTGCTACCTGACAGCTCCATTTTCAACATCTTTTGTCCAGTATAGCCACCATCCCTCTTCTGCACATGTCCAAAGCATCTCAGCCTTACTTCTCTAACTTTGTCTTCAGTGGGACCTGATATAAACTAAGCCTCGTCTTCAAACAGAAAGTTGTTACTTTGTTACATAGTTATTACTTTCTGATTTTATTTCTGAAAAAAACAACAACAAAAGTATATCTTTATATAACAAAATGTGTTTATTTTAAACCATAACACTATACAAGAAACTGTGCTTAACAAAGTACAAAACACTGTTGAGCAAAATAAAGTATAAGGTTCTAAAGTCTCCTGTCACTGGCTGAAGTTTCTCCTTCCTGATAAAAGAAGCTAGTTTCAGGAGAACTGTTTTCAATATGTAATATACTGACATTTTGGTTTTATGTATATAGAAAATAATAACCATATTTTTTTTATGATTGAAGATATATTTTAGAAAATGTTATCACAGTTCCTTATGTCTTTGCTCTACCCATGTATGAGCAGCAGACACCCCAATTTTGACAGTGAAATTTCTCGTCTTTAGTCTGATGTGTAACCGCTCATGTCATGGCATATTTTAAGCCAATGATAGTAAATAGAAGTAGTTGGTTATGGATTCGTTACAATGTAAAATGCATACTGTTGTTGTTTTT